TTATGTACAAGGTTTTTGTGGCTTTTTTTTTTTTTTTGCTAGATGTGGTTTCATTTCCCTTAAATATTTATCTGTGAGTAACCTCCAATTTTTATATTTTTAAACTTATTAACCTAAAGCAGGCATCACAACATAAGCTGTAGGAAGTAATTCTAACAAGTGTGGACTTTTCCATTCAACAGCAATAGTATCATGACTCTGGAAAGACTGTGAGAGTATATAAACTTTCTTCTACCTTTAGACTAATTACACTGAACTTCCTCTCCACCCTCCCCCCGACACACACATTCAATTACAATTTCAAACAGAAATTTTATCAGGCAACTTGCTCACTGCACATCCTTATATGTTCATTCTAAAGGAAAGTGATGATAACATTCACATAATCGTAAACAATCCGTACATTTATAAAGAAGTTATCAGTTAAATGCCGGGAAAAGGACGTCTAAGAACTCCACCTCTAGCTTTAGAAATTAGTATTACTAAGACATATCCTTGGTAACTGCATCAATAGAAGTTAATTTATGTTCCAATCTTAGTGTAGAACCCTGGGAATAGATTATGAAATTTCATTTGCAGTCAGTTCTTATTTACATGTGCCAAAATAAGGGGAAATTGTTTTAATTCAGATCCATGTGTACCTTAATTTTTGTAGAGTCAAATCATGAATACACGTGGATATTTACAGAGTTTGATCTTTCAGTGAAAGTTATATTCACAAACTCTTACAAAATTTAACATAATTTTAAAAACAAAACTCTGGCCTTTTAAATATTTCAATTTTAGTGATTTTTCAATCTACCAATAATTCTACTGTGCTCTTTTTAAATGAATACCTAGGGATCCCTGGGTGGCGCAGCGGTTTGGCGCCTGCCTTTGGCCCAGGGCGCGATCCTGGAGACCCGGGATCGAATCCCACATCTGGCTTCCAGTGCATGGAGCCTGCTTCTCCCTCTGCCTATGTCTCTGCCTCTCTCTCTCTCTCTGACTATCATAAATAAATAAATAAATAAAAATAAATGAATACCTAAAACGTTTTTTGGAACAACTTTTTAAAATAGTATTAACTAAAGCACTCCTAAAATTAAAAATCTAATCTGTTAAGTTACTGATGTGAATAATGAAATTTAAGAAAATTAAAAATTCTTAAAACCAATATCTGAGAAATTCTATCCTTTTCACCCTATGCTCATCAGAAATTAAACTTTTCAGAATTGTAATTCCAAATGTAATGTATTTTACGACAGTTTAAAACTAATAACAAGCTACAATTACATTATGTATTGTTTATGGTCCTATTTATGAATGTTTACCTAGCATGAAATTCTTTTTTATATTAAAGTTTCAATATGAAACTTTATAATTAACTATTATATTTATTTATATATATATATAAATATATATATAATATATTATATTTATATTACTCCTTGTCTTATTTTATTAAAATATAGTTGATACAAAATGTTACATTAGTTTTTGGTGTACAACACAGACTGGACAAGTTTATAAGTTATACGATGCTCACTTTAAGTGCAGCTACCACCTGTCACCATACTGTCCTATTACAATACCACTGACTATATTCCCTACGGTGAGCCTTTTATCTCTGTGACTTACTCATTCCCTAATTGGAAGCCTGAATCGCTGTCTTTCATCCATTTTGCACATTCTACAATCCTCCTCCACTCTGGCAACCATCAATTTGTTCTCTGTATTAATCGGTCTGTTTCTGCTTTTTGTTTCAGATTTCACATATAAGTGAAAGCATGTGGTATTTGTCTTTCTCGGACTTTATTTCACTTACCATTATATCCTACTCCCGGTCTTTAATATCCTCATAACTCAATGTCACCCAACTCATATGCCTGTGAGCATACTAAAATTGCTACCTATGATGACATGTCCATTCACAGGGTCTTTATATACATTTATATACATCATCATGTTTTGTGACATAAAGAAATTAGATGAATTTCAAAAGCCGTGTAAAAAATCATCTCATTTTGTAGGCCCTTTTCTCTCTCCTAATGGTTTCCTTTATGTTTACTAATATCCAAACTTTGGCATTCTCTTTCAATCTCATGATTTCATATAACTTATTTTAAGCGTAGAACACTTCTAAATCTCTAGGTCGTGACCAAGGTCTAATCCTGTATCTGCAACTGGACATGTCCCACAGGCCTTTAAAACACATAATGTCTCAAGTGGATGATCTTTCTTTCCAAATCTATTCTTCTTATGCCTACTTTGGGGTACCTCAGACTTTTTGGTCACACAGCTTGAAGCTTAGGCTCAAACCTTTCCCAAAATTTAGCTTTTCTGTTTCTTTGTCCTGGAAACTCAGCTTCCAAATTCCCTGAAGCCACTTCTCCATTTTAAATAATCTTACCCTGTGCTGCAGCTCTGTATTATTTTCAGAGCCCTCTGGTCAGTGGTCTGTGGGCAATAGGGCAGAGTGAGGATTTTATAATTCTGGATTCTTTTGTTCATTTGTTTTTTACTCTTTGGCAAGAGGAGTAACTTGAAAACAGGCATCACCATTACACAAAAACATGTATGCCATGATAATGGCTGGGTTAAACATTTTCTCTGGCTGAAGCAGCAGCTTTAGATTCTTGGTAATATTTCATTTTGTGTCAATCAGCAGAGTAAACAGAAAAAAATATGGATCTTGAAGACATACAGATATAGGCTCAATTCCAAATCTCACTTACTTTTCTGAGGCTCAGAGTCCTTATATATGAAATGAGAATAAGCTACCTCCATAAGGTCAAGATTAAATAGGGTCCATATATACCTGACTTATGTTCAAAATATTTGCTAATTGAATGGATAATGTTCCTCATTCTGGAATACCTCTTCTCCCGCATCTTCACCAGCTAACTAGTATTTATTTTTTTATACTTCCGTTGCGGCCATCTTGAATTTCCCTAGAATGATTCCTATGTCCCACTTCAGTGTTTCTATGGCTGCAGTGCCTGTTTATCGGCTGCAGTGCCTGTTTATCACACACTCTGTAATTACTGATGTCCTTAAGTCTCTCATTATATTCTGGTAAATTCCTTGAGGATACAGATCTTGTGTTACTTGATTTTGTATCTATAGCAATAGTTATGGTTCCTGGCAAACAGCCTCCACTATTTCAATAAATGATGAATGAATACTTTTTATATACAAATAACCAAAGGCCTTGTACTGTAAATTTACTAATTTTATTCCTAGTGCAAAGTAATAAACATACTAGAAAAAAGAGAAAATTTTAACAACCAAGTATCTGCAGCAGGTACCGCAAAAACAAAAATATTCTGATTGAATTATACTAATTTAAGGTGACAAAAATATGGCCTCTCTATGTAAAGAGAATAGTTCACTCTAAGCACTGAAGCTGTGCCTAACTAAGCGATCGTCAGTTAATGTAATCCAATCTACCCAATTCCCTGTGCAATAAATTGTCTCTATTATTACTGCTACTTTACAATCATGTATCACACAAGCAGTGAGCTGTTATGTCAGGGTTCCAACAATTTGGGCTTCCTGACTCCAGAGCCTCTACTCTTGCTTGACACACTACCCTGACTTCCAAGCAGTTGCAGATGCCCCAAAGATGCTTAATGTGGTACCCTGACCCACGATGACTAAGGTTATGTCTTTCCCCCACAATGTGGGGAATCACGGAGTCCATTCCCCCTTCAGATCCAACCTGAAGGGTTCTATCCACCAACTGTGTCTTTGAAGACAAGTGTAGGTACATCATTGAAACTGCACAGGGAGGCAGCCCAGGTGGCTCAGCGGTTTAGCGCCACCTTCAGCCCAGGGCGTGACCCTGGAGACCCGGGATCGAGTCCCTCGTTGGGCTCCCTGCTTGGAGCCTGCTTCTCCCTCTGCCTGTCTCTGCCTCTCTCTCTCTGAATAAACCTTAAAAAAGAAAAAAAAAAAACTGCACAGGGTTGTCTTCCACACACGTAAAATAAACTACACTTTCCCTCTGAATAGAGTGGTATCTTTTGTATATAGGTATCTATATCTATAGTACCTTTTACATATATTTATATCTATATATAAAAGAATGCTTTGGCTTTCTTTTCATCATAGCACAAAAAGTCGTCCTATTATGGCCTGAAAACCTAGATACTTAAGAACTAAGACATCATCTCCAGGAAAGCCAGAAAACAAACAAAGGTCGCATTTACAGCCTTGAGGTTAAAGAGATCCAAACAAGGCCGTCCTGGAGCGCTCAGGAGTCCCAAGTAGGCAGAACTGCTAGAGTGTCAATCACTTAGGGAAACCCAAGCACCTCAACACTGACAAATGGACTTGGGTTCCCTCAAAGAGCCTCTAAATCACTGGAGACCAATGAACCAGTCTAACGCTCTGAGGGGCCGCCTCGTGGGCTTCCAACTGGCAATCTGGTGATGTCCAGAACACGGGCAAGGACTCTAACTCCATTGGGCGTGTAACTTTAAACCAGCAAAACTGGGACTGGGACTCTGTGGCCACCCTGTAGAGATTCCCGCATCTTAAACTGCCTCTAAGTACAACAGTCCGCCACGGGGTTTGGTTTTGTTGTTTTGTTCCGATTAGGATACGGGGGGTGGGGGGAGGGGCTTTGCCTTATTAATTAAACAGACGCCTCCTTAGTAGCAATGATGCAGTGAAGGACATTCTGGTTCCTTGCATTTAAAATGCAGCCACAAACCTCCTCAGGGAGAAAAGAAACAGGCAAAAAAGGGCAACCGCTGGCACATCGACTCAGCTCCAATCTTCCAAGCCGAAGAGGACGTAGGAAGCAGCCCTTACAAGCAAGCATCACCGGCGGCGAGCAGGGGAGGGACCGGCAAAGCGCGGACGCTGTTAGCGGAAGTCGGCAGGCAGACCCTCGGGAAGCCAAAGCTCGCGAAATGGCGGCCACACGCACGTCAATCGGCCGGAAAGCGCCACCCGCCCCTCGGACACGTCCCGTCACCAGGGAAACGACGCTCTTGCGTAGGGGCGGGGCTCCGGGTGAAAGTTCACGGCTGAGGCTGAGACCTTTCTCTCTCGCCCGGGTGGAGGCCTCGCGGCCCCGGGGGGCGGCCGGAACTCGAGAGGCTCCCGCCGCCCGCAGTCGCGGGTTGAGGAGGGAGCCTGGGCCTCTCCCGCCAGCCCCGCCTCGCCCCGCCCAGCCGCCGAGCGGGGAAGCGCCCCTGAGGCGAGCGCAAGCCGAGGGGCGGGGCGAGCCCTCGGCGGCGGCGGAGCGCGCGGGAGTTGACGTTAGCCATGGAAACGCGGAGCGGGCGCCGGAGCGAGCGCGGGGAGCTGGCGGCGCGGCCGCCTGCGCTTCTCCGCGTCCGCGTTCGGGTCGCAGGGAGCCTCCGGGCGGCGTCGCCCACCCCGGGTTTACCTGCAGAAATGCAGTTCCCGGGATTCCTTCGCCTCGCCTCTTCCCTCGGGTGACTCGAGGTACGTTTGATTCCCCGACACCCACCTGGGGACTTCTTGCCCACCTTGATTTCCAAGCCCGTGCAGAGCTACGCGTTTCTTTGCAGTTTTGATTCCCACAGATTTCCTCGTTCTTCGTTATACGACCTTTAAGTGCGGTTATTGCGCTTTTTAGACAGAAGGTGAACTCAGTGGCTGGAGGCATCTATACAGTGGGACTTTAACTTTCTTTCAAACGACTGCTGTAGCCCGTTGAGTTGCCGCGTTTTGTTTCTAAGAGATGCTTGCGAAATGGACAGTGGCCCGTTGCGTCTTGATTTAGTGATGTCCTTGTTATTCTCAATAAAGTTTGTAAGTTGCGTCCCTAGGGTAATACTGCGCTCATTCCTTACCTCCAGCTAAACCACTTTTGCCCAAACGTAGTCAGCTTCTGGCCCCTTGAACATGAATGACCATCTGCTGGGTCTCTTCACAACCCTATCAAGGACCAGCGTTTTACTTCAGTGAACTCTGCAGCAACAGAGGTTGTTTATCAGACCTGTGGAGTGATTATCTGGGTGGGTTTTTTTTTTTTTAAGATTTTATTTATTTATTCACGAGAGACATGGGGGGGGGGCAGAGACACAGGCAGAGGGAGAAGCAGGCTCCATGCAGGGAGCCCGACGTGGGACTCGATCCTGGGTCCCCAGGGTCACTCCCTGGGCTGAAGGTGGCGCTAAACCGCTGCGCTTCGCGGGCTACCCTGATTATTTGTTCTTTACCAACCATTTCTCTTTTATTCAACTATATAATGTTAGGTGAGGTTTTTTTTTTTTTTTTAAATCATTCTTACGATTAGGGTAAAGGCTATCCTTTATATTATTGAGTGTCCACTGCCACCCATGCCAAATCTCCAAACCTTTATCGTAACATCCAGAGCCAGACTCATGACCAGAGATACTGCCATTTTAATAATTTAACTGAGACATCTGTCAGCCACTCTTAAGTTTCCTTCGAGTTATTAGACAAGACCTGGTTGGGGACCTTACCTGTTTTTTTTTTTTCTTTTGTAAGAACTTTGTTGAAATATAATTCACATTACGTAGGATTCACTCATTAAAAGTGAATTCACTCATTAAAAGTGTACATTACACATTTTTGGATGTATTAAACATTTTAAAAAAGTGTACAGTTGTTTTTAGTATATTCAGAGAATTGTGCAGTTATAACTACAGTCAATTTTAGAACATTTCATCCCCCTTCAAAAAAGCCCTGTACCCTTTAGGATTATTCCCTCCCGTCTTTGTCACTATCTCCTCCAGCCTTAGGCAAACATTAACCTGTTCTCTTGTCTTTATAGATTTGCACGTTCCAGACATTTCATATAAATGAAAGCATACAACATCAACGTGTGGCCTTTTGTGATTGTCTTCTTCCACTTAGCATTCAGTTTTCAAGGTTCATCCATGTTGTAGCATATGTCAGGACTTCATTCTTGTTTGTAGCCTAATATTCCGTCGAGTGGATTTATTACATTTTATTCATCTGTTAGTGGACGTTTCGGGTGTTTCCACTTCTTGACTATTCATATTTTTGCTGTGAATGTTCCTGTACAGATTTTTGTGTAGTCTTATATTCTTATTCTTCTTAGGTGAATACCCAGGAATAGAATTGCTAAGTCATATGGTAACTCTAAGTTTAGCCTTTTTAGGAACTGCCAGACTAGTTTTGAAGGCAGCTGGGCCATTTTATTTTATTTTATTTTTTTATTTTTTTTTTCAGCTGGGCCATTTTAACTTGCGACTTGCAGGTTCTATTTTTTCCACAATCTCAACAATACTTGTTATTGTCCATCTTTTTCATAACCAGTCAAGTGGGTTTGAAGTGATAACTCATGGATTTGGTTTGCATTTCTCTTTTCTGATGTGTCTTGTGTGATTATTGGCTATTTGTATATTATCTTTGGAGAAATGTCTATTTTAATCCTTTAAAGTGACTTGTTTTTTTCACCATTGAGTTATAAGGGTTCCTTATATATTCTAGGTGTAAGTCCCATATCATATATGTGATTTGTAAAATGTTTCTTTCCATTCTATGGGTTGTTTTCATTTTCTTGATAGTGAGAACCTTTTTCTTCTAGACACTTTCCCACTTGTTAACTCTTGTTGAGTCTTGCTTGCATGTCAGTGTCCTCATGCTGGCTAGGCTGACAAAAGTTTCCAATTTGACATTTTGGAGATTCCTCTTAGGCCCTCTTTTCCCTGAAAACTCTTTCTCCCAAATTACCTTCTATTTTTTCTAGCCTCAAAAAATAAAATTCCCTTTCATTTGGCAATGACTTAGTACGACTGAAAAACTCAGGCACCAACTGACATGGTGTGTTGGTTAAGTCACTTAATTTCACTGGTTCTCAGTTTTCTGTAAAGTAAGTTGGTTTACTTCTAGTACTCCATGTGAATGGTAGACTTCATTTACCTGATACTTGATTTTGAAAGAAAAACTTGAATTAATTAAGTTGAATTAATTGAATTTATAATTGGTAAGATATACAGTGTGGAAAGGGTAAATTGGGAGAGAAGGAAACGTGTCAGCTGGCCCTGCTGCACATTTGTGATGTGAGGATGTGACTTTTGGCTATTTTCTACCATCTTATTTTTCCCCTAAAGTAACAGAATGCTAACAATTCATATTCTACTGTTGTGCACTTGGGAAAGGTGAATTGTAGAACTGACAACTCATCATTCTACCTGTGAAGCTTTCCCAATTTCTGCAATAAATAGATCCTTTGAGCTATCTACTTACCCTTTCCATCCAGTTATAGTTTTCTCTCTAATTCCTGTGAATTTACAGAAAGCTCTTAGAGTCAAAGACCCTTCTAAAATCTTGAATTTGAATAAATGCCATTTTGTAGATAAGGAGATGATACAGTCTTTCATTTTAAGACTCTTTTGGGTGCTTACTACATAATTGATAAACTATAACATGAAATGTGTTTTTCATGTTTTAGCACTAAATGTCTTTCAAAAGGCTCTTCAAGAATTTAACTGTCCATTGTATGGCATTTAGTTAAGATTCATAGAGTATTTTCAGGATTATAGGGGTAGCTATCTTTGCATCTCTAGATTCCTATTAATATCCTCAACTGTTAGCACTTGGCTATCAAAAAGTCCACGGGTTTTTGCTTTTTAGAACTTCTTTCACAGTAACAAGTCATTGTATCCAGTGCAAACGAGAATTAGGTTGTGTTCTAGAATGTTTTTGAGTAAACCATTTTGTTTCTTTTCCAGACATCAAGTTTTTGTTTTCTTTTTTTTTTTTTTTTTTTAAGATTTTATTTATTCATTCATGATAGAAAGAGAGAGGCAGAGACACAGGCAGAGGGAGAAGCAGGCTCCTTACTGGGAGCCCGACGGACTGGGTCCTGGGACTCCAGGACCATGCCCTGGGCCAAAGGCAGGCGCTAAACCACTGAGCCACCCAGGGATCCCCTCTTTAAAAAAAAAAAAAAAAAAAGATTTTATTTATTTATTCATGAGAAACACACACAGAGAAGCATAGGCAGAGGGAGAAGGACCCTGGGATCACAGCCTGAGCCAAAGGCAGACAGACACTCAAGCACTGAGCCACCCAGGCATCCCGAATTTGTGTTTTTTTCCAAATTAATAAAGGTGTGATGCTTAGAAAAGTAGAACTTCAGTATATTTCCTTTCACATTTTTATTTTATTTATTTATTTTTTTCCTTTCAGATTTTTAAAAATACTTTTTTTAGGAACGTGGATGAAGACATTCTATTTATTGCTGATAAAGTTTGTGTAGGCATTTTTTAAACAAGCAGAAATTGGGGATCCCGGGATTTAAAAGATTTTTTAAAAATCTTTTTTTTTTTTTTTTTTAAATTTATTTATGATAGTCACACACACACAGAGAGAGAGGCAGAGACACAGGCAGAGGGAGAAGCAGGCTCCATGCACCGGGAGCCCGACGTGGGACTCGATCCGGGGTCTCCAGAATCGCGCCCTGGGCCAAAGGCAGGCGCCAAACCGCTGCGCCACCCAGGGATCCCAAAAGATTTTTTAAAAATCTTTAAAAAAAAAAAGCAGAAATTAATTTTTCTTGATGAGTTAATTTTGTTTAAAAATTTTATGTTATTTATAAACTGTGTATTGCTTATTCTCTTGATCATGAAAATGAAAGTAAATCCAGAGTTACTTTTACCAGTAATAATTATTTGAGAGGGAAATGATAAACTACCCCCCCCCCATTATAAACTTCTTTGGATCAGATAGCAGTCTTATTACCATTACCTAGTACATTGTAGGAATTCAAAAGTTTAAATATGTGGAGAGTATTAAATTTTCATTTAGCTAGCTATCTCTCTATGAAAGGAAGGTTAACATATTTGTCTATATTAACAACTGTCAAAATGAACTCTAATTCTTACCAGCATCTTCTAACAGTGCTTCAAGCACAAGTTAACATAGGGGGAGAAAAAAAGATTAGAACATATGTCAGACTTAATATCCTTCATATAAAAAAAGTTTTTCAAATTAATAAGAGAAATGAACACTTTAAAAGAAAAAGGGGCAAAGGACATAAAGAGACAATTTACAGAGAAATTAAATGACATTTATCTGCATGTACACACTCATGTAAAGTGAATATTCTCAGAAAGACCATATTAATGAAATAATAGGATCCTATAAAAAGGGGAACATCTAGGAATTAAAGATGTACTTTTAAAAATTAAAAATAAGGGCAGCCCAGGTGGCTCAGCAATTTAGGGCCGCCTTCAGCCCAGGGCCTGATCCTGGAGTCCCGGGATCAAGTCCCACATGAGCCTGCCTCTCCCTCTGCCTGTGTCTCTGCCTCTCTCTCTCTCTCTCTCTCTCTCTCTCTCTCTCATGAATAAATAAAATCTTTTTAAAATTTTAAAAAAATAAAATATGAGAGCAGATTTAATAAAATTTGACAAATATATTAGGATATAGTAAGTTTCCTGAAAGTATAATAAAATACAGTTGAGGCACAGTGCAGAAGTGCT